TCTATGATGAAATGACTGGCTTGGTAGATGAGGGGAGAGCTGTGGATATTGTCTGCATTGACTTCAGTAAGGCTTTCAACACTGTCTCCCGTAAGAGAGTAAGATCCTCATAGAGAAGTTGTTGATGTACGGGCTGGATAAGCAGGCAGTGAGGTGGAATTAAAAACTGGCCGAATGGCCGGGCCCAGAGAGTGCTGATCAATGGCATGAAGTCTAGTTGGAGGCCAGTGACTAGCAGTGTACCCCAGGGATCAATACTGGGTCCAATCCTGTTCAGCATCATCAATGATTTGGGTGATGGGGCAGAGCACACCCTCAGCAACTTTGCTGATGACACAAATCTCAGAGGAGTGGCTGATACGCCAGATGGTTGTGCTGCCATCCAGAAGGATCTCGACAGGCTGGATAAATGGGCTGATAGGAACCTCATGAAGTTCAACAAGGGGAAGTGCAAAGTCTTGCCCCTGGGGAGGAACACCCCTAGTCACCAGTATATGGCTGGGGGCCACCCAGCTGGAGTCGGGGTCCTGGTAGACACTGAGTTGAACATAAGCCAGCAATGTGCTCTTGCGGCAAGGAAGGCTAATGGTAATGACAGCAGAGGCCTTGGTCGTGCAAGCATGCTCTTATGTGATACCCTGACCTTGAGGCTTGGTTGTAATCAGGTAAAATCTAATTTCAAATATATCTGAAATTGTTTGAAATCTAAGGAAAATGCTTCAAAGGACACACACCATAGTTATGGTAAGTCAACAAATGTTATGTACTTTTGTGGTGGGGTACAGAACAAGAATGAGGAAGGCTGCTTTTTGGCTTCTGTTAGCTGATGCATGGTCAGGGTCAAGTCAACCCTTCTGGAGAAAAGGGAGGTTATGCCTCCCTTCAGAGCAAAGCAGACTGTGCCCCGGGGAGTCTTTTGCAGCCTATGGGTCAGGGTTGAAAGGATGTGGGAGACAAGGAGAGCACCTGCAGCAAGAGAGTCTGCTGTTTGGCAGCAAGACATGACAGGAACAAACACCTACCGCAGCTACACAGATAGGATCATAGAGAATTTATTTCTACCTAAAAAAAGTAAATGAATTGCTTGACTGAGAGCAAAATTAAAGAAAAGGACTCACCCTGAGAGAAAACTGTGGGCATCAGGGAGACTTATTTCTATTTTTCTGTACTTAGTCATTTTCAGTCTCTGGATTAAAAAGTTCATTATCCTAGCTTCTGTTCTAATAAAACACTGTTTATATAGTCCAAAAGCCCTATTTTGTTTATGTAAGACATCATAAAACATACATACACAAATTCAAATATATTTATATGTACACATACTTGTAGCATTGATAGGAGCTATTTTTATTTTTCATTCATTTTGACACCACTGGAGATCCTAAAGCTGCATTTTTGTCAAAACTACTGATAAAAATCATGTTTGGCATGAAAATTATCATCTTTGCTACTAGTGATGACGAGAGAAAATACCACATATTAGATTGTCCCTCTTTGCCTATCACTATATGATTTTAAGCACTGGTGACAGGCATGCATTAAAAAAAAAGTAAATGAGATGCACAAGACATTAAAACTTTTCCAGGAATATTAATAAAAAAATATTCCAACAGTTCATGCAGTATTGGAAGTTAAAAAACCCCAAAACAACCACATTGCAAAGTGAGAAAAATAGGTCTAAGGGCTTCTTATTATCCCCAAATGCTTTTCTCATTTTCCCACTATTGCACCAAGTTATTAATTTATAATGAAGAAGAAAAAACTTATGATAAAACACAACTTGCAGCCATTTTTAATATATCTACTGGCCTTCCAGAGAAACAGCACTGACTGGATAAAAGCCTTTGGAAGACGGCACCTGCATAGATCTTCTGCCACTAATTTCTGAAAATATATCTAACACTTGCATAAAGTATCCTCTTTTTAACACCTCCCATTTAATCTTCTTTTAAAATTCATTTAATATAAAACTGTAGATGTGTTTTTAGGTTGCAATAGTAATGGTTCAGAATGACAGCTGATTTGGACACTTTTGTACCAGCTGCACAGTACAAAGACAGGATCTCTACCTCTGTCCTGCCGAGAAAGAGTAAATGGACCCATACAAATGCGCTGTAGTGTCGGCTCTGGAAGCTGATGGAGTTCGGCTGTTCCCAGCAGTGACACCTAGTCAGAGCAAGAATAAGCAAGCTCCTTCTGCAGGAATCTGAATCAAAGTTTTATTTCTTGTGACAGCTCCCATTTCTCTGGTAAGCTCCCATTGAAGGACAACAAATGTACCCTTGCCTCCATCTCTCTCCAGTTCTCTGATTAATTGCATTGGCTTGCACGTATTTTCACTAGAATAGTATGTTAGGTGTAGTTAACCATCATGATACTTAGGGGAACCCAAAATTCTCTTGGGATAAGTAATATCCATGAGATTGCATGCATAGGATCTACAGATATCTTGGTTTTTAATTACATTTAGAGCAAGACAGTTCAGCTGAAGTGACATAGATCTGGGCACATACAGATGAAAACATTCAGGAGTCTTAGAAACTTTTCTAATAATTACATGAATAATCAGGAAGGGAATCTCAGTCGTCAGAAGCAGCTAAGTGAGCACAGGACAGGTGATGCAGATTTCATTCAAATGTCTAATTTCATTCTAATGTCTGTCTAATTTCATTCTTGTTGCCTATGCCCTTCTTTGGACCTAGCTGTAGATGCCTAGCTGCAAATACCTAAGCCTCAAAGCAGACAAACAGTGCATTATCCAAGTTGATTAACTGGTATCAGAAAGAATTATTCTGCTTGAAGTTAAGCACTTTATACATATTATCTATCAAATTTTAAAAGAGTAGGTTCATACTTTTGCAACAATGTTACATATATATAAATTATATTGAAATAATATCATGCCATTTCAAAACAAGGTAACCGTACTGACTCATGAATATGAACATTAATGTTCCACTGACTGTAAGTGTCTTTTGACATACTTTTAAAAATCGCCTACAGAATGTTCTTATGATGGGAATTTCACACTCTTTTCAAGCTTTGCAAAAACAGTTGTCAAGGAAACTAATTAGTTCCACAACCATAATTGCAATAATGATTCATATAAAGAAGACCTGATGTTAAATAGTGTAACAGACTTCTTACAACTACTTAGAGGTTATGGGAGAGCACTGAAAGGAAAAAGCCCCTAAATACCTATAAAACTGTGTTCAGAGAAAAATGTTCTATCTATCTTCTGAAACCAAATTACCTAAGCTGCTTTTTACTTGAATGTCTAGAGACCATCTACGTTTTCATTTACGCAGGTATATCACGTTTCTCTGAGTTACAGCAGCTGTGGCAATAATATGGAATACTTCAAATAATTATAATAGGTTAAAGTTAGTTTGCATTGCAAAATAAGTAAGATTTGTGTTTCAAATATACAAAATTGAAAAATGGCTTATCCCTTCAATTTACCTAAATAAGGTTTTATTTATTTTTCTACTTGATAAATATTTTTATTTCCTTGGACAATAAGCTTTTCTACATTTCTTTTTCCCTTTTCTTTTTCGTTCATGTAGTGAAATTTTATTTCTGAATGATGGCAATCACAAGTCACTATCTGTTTAAAAACAAGTACACAGAACCTACTGAGGCCCTGAATTTCAATCAAGATGCAAATCAACTCTCACTACTGCAATTCAAGTGCATAAAACAAATATTTGTACTAGAACTGGATCTGAACCTATTAATGAATTACAAATGCCTATTCCTTTCTATAAATGCAAGTAACGATACTTCTGATATCAACAAATTGCTCTGGAATATTACAAAATGTTGCAGACATCTTGAGATAACTTCCCTGAAAATATATTTGAAGAAAACTTTCAATAGACAGAAAAATAATTAGTCAGTTATTTCAAACTTTTCCAGTAACACAGTAGTCTGACTCATTCAAACTCCTTGCCTCTTTACTAAGATCAATGCTAGTCAGATGCTCAGACTGAAACACAGGTATTGATATGGTTTACATTTTAATATATTGGCCATTATATTTATTTGGCAAGATTTTAACTTGATTCTAATACCCTAATTGTTTAATATATAGCATAAAGAAAATACTATGTTAGAGGATTTAGCACCTGATTTTAAAATGGTAATGATGACACTGATCTGATTTGGAATTTATTATTAAAGATAACAGATCATAATTTAGATAAAAAGTTCAAAATCTCTTCCTCATAGCATTTGCTTTATAAAAATTAAAATTGCCCATAATATATCAGAAATTACCATCATATTTTTGGTTTATTCTGAATGAAATAATTTTGCACTGTTGCACCAAAATATAACTTTACGTTGGGAAGCATTAAAAATTGATAAATTAGTTACTGAAACACACTCACTCTTAAATACTATACAGTTTTCCTTAAAAAAAATTCCAAACCTTCCTATTTACATACTTAAAAATATGAACAACATTTCTATAGATTTCAAAGCTTGTAAATAGGCCTAATAGAAGGCTGTATGCTCACCATGTTAGGGTGAACCAGTAAGACGGTATTTAAACAAGACTATTTGAAGCCTTATCCTCATCAGACACTAAAATAAATATCTTTATTGCATGTGTATCTTGAAGCACATGTACAGATACTTTGAGTTGGACTGAAATCAAGAATTCTAACAACTAAGTTGCTTAAAACAGACAAATAGGCAGTACAAGGCAACTTAAAAATGTATAACAGGTGTATCTTAAATACTATATTTCTTGTTAACTGTCATCTGGGTTGAAGATTCAATATTTGTTCTGTACTTACAAATGACTGTATTACTAAGAGAAAAGTAGGAAACGGGGTCCCATTTAAGGGTCTTGAATCGAGTCTTTGCTGATAATAGAGTATGGGGTTTCAGGCTTTGTCAGTTAAAGAAGACTTCAGTTATGTTCAACTACACGCATTAGTGTACTACAAGTAGAAAACAATTCATAGAGAGAAAACACTCTAAAATTAACTTACCTGTAATAATGTTGGGCTTTGGTGGCATGCTGAATTCATACAATGTTGGTTCAGAATAACCCAGTCTGTTGGCAGCTGTAATTTGTACTTCGTAACCCATGGTCCACTGAAGATGCTCTAAGATGATGTGGTCTTTACTACCCTGCACTTTTTTCTCTAGCCACTGGTCTTCCTTATCTTTCTGTAAAGATGCAAATATTAGTTTAAATTCTCAAAACCTCTTGTATTATTTGTCTAAACTGTGTGTCTACATGATGCACAAAAAATATGGAGTATCATTTACAGAGGTTATGAACATTCAACTAATCTAATTTTGGAGTTCTGAGTACTCGGGCTTTCTGTAATTTTGACCACTCCTAATCATGTTTCCACAATGCAGATTTAGCGATTTTGCAGGCAATCACTTTTAACCTTTTGGCTTCGATTTATACTTTGCTCAAATACTAATGTTTATCTTGGGGAACAGCAGGATAATTATTTGCAAATACTGCTAAGAATAAATGCTGGAAAAGGTTTATTTTATATAGATGTTTCAATTACATTTTGATCAATGTTCTTTAAAAGAAACTTGCCATTAAACCCAAACTTGAACTGTTCATGAATGCAAGCTGTCCTTGTATCATACATTAGTTATATAATGAAAATGTACACTAACTGTTGCAATATGTGGTACTATAGTAACATTTTTGCAAACCAGGTTTTACGCAACAATATAAACACCTTTGAGAAAGTATGCAGTCCTGTGTCTACACTGGTGAAAGGATACATGTAAATCATTTAGATGGTGTTCTAGAGAAAAAAAGGGTTCTCATAATTCAGGTAATTATCTAAGACACCTATACAAAGGGAGCAAATGAGGACTTCAGTTGCAATCTTAATTCTGGCATTTCATAAATGTGGAGTGCTTACCTTTGCAATCACTCCTTTTAGTGCATCATATATTAAATTATACAAATGAGAATTACAAAATAACTAATAGGTAAAAGGATAAAACAATATATACTGTCAAACACAAAAGCCATCTTGTTCAAAGGAGTATCAAAAACAGTCAGTAACAATCCATGCAGTCCTATTCTTACTAAACACTGAAGTATATTGCAGTGGCAAAAACTGTGGCTGAGAGCCAAATCCTTGCCATCCAACCCATAGAGCAACACAGACCCAGTCAGTGGTTATAAACTTTCTGGGAAAAAAAACCCAACACCTTCAAATACAGGGAAGTATAATGTTTTGCTGCAGACTACTATGCTTCTCAGCAGCTTATATTTAGGCTCTTCGCTGAAGCATCTTGCTCTTGACTGATACAAGTGTCAAAGAAAATAGCATCTAAATTAGACAGTTCAGGGCCCAATCATGCTCCTTATGCCTGGGGGTTCTTTTGTCCCCAGCCTTCAGAAAGTAGAGTGACACACTAAACTCCCTTATATGCACTGCTGCAATAATTTATTTTCTACCAGTGCTGAGTGTGATGTTTTTTCCACACTGACTTCACCTTTTCTTAAGCTCTTTGTTGCTTCTTCTGGCATTGGTACTGACACATGATAGTCCTGGGAATGATTAAAATACAGTAAAACACCTTTTCAGGAACATTTGCAGCAAGGTGAAAGTGCCTACTTGGTGCTGCAGTAGACCAATGAAAAACATCAGAATGGTAGCTACCTTTATCATGAAAAAAACTAAATACACTGGAGTAAAAATAGTTTACTCATCATATAGTGAAACGGGTATTTTCTGTCAAGGATATTTTCCCCTATAGTCATGGATAATTTCTGTTGCAATCATCTGACGTGCCACTGAGTGAATCCACCTATATTTACATTCCACTGAGTGAATCCACTTATATTATCACTATATCAAACTACTTTTACAAAATATAGTTTTGTATAGCACTGCCAAAAAAAAAAAAAAAGAATTGATACTGATTGCAATATTCATATGCAAATACTCCTTAGTAATATCAGGAATAGCAATGTTACATACCACTATATTTTAATGGCTGTTTAAGTTGGTGAGGTTTGGGAGGATACACCTAGATTCCAAAGAATACCAACATGAGAGAAATCAGAAGATCCGTACATGATCTTGGTGTGTGCACATACAACCGTGTGAATATACTGGGGAATTCCAAAGAGGTTCAGAATCTCAGAAGGAGAAAAAATATACTGAATTGGAAAACAAAGATTCAGGCTAATATGGTTCCTGCAGGTGGAAAAACCAGCATTGCAAACAGATATATGACTATATTTTGAAAACAAACTGTAGAATTATATGTGATGAATAGAATGAGCTTAAGATTTGGAAGGAAAACTAGACAGATTTCTGTATGAGGCTGCTCTTCTGCAGACATAAGAATAAGTGAAAAGGCAGTTGTTCCACAGTTTGGTCAGGTGAAGAATAATGAAAGAGCTGAAGTGTAACAGGATACCTGCATGCTATGCCAGAGAAGTGACACCCTAAGTTTAGTTGAAAGGGAAGCTGACTGGGTGGATTGAGATAAATGAAACAAAGCCCAAGCCCTGAGCTAAAAGACAACAAAATGTTTTACAAAGAGTGACAAACACAAGTTAGAAAGAAGAAGAATAAAGAAAGTATCTGGAAAGCAAGTTGTATTCTTCTACAGATAAACAGATGAAGTCTTCCAGAATACAATCTGCTTTTGGCATCTTAAAGAAAAAAAGAACAGAACTGCAATGTCCTTTATTATAGCTGTTATTTAACATGCATTTTCAAGTACTTTTTACTAAGTAGAGTTCAGTAATGTGTCCAGATTTATTTTGCTGTTAGTGTAGAAATGGAAAGAGGGGAACAAGAATACAAAACAAGAGACTGTCAGTTAAATCTTCCTACAAATCTTCCTGTTAATGCTAAGACCCTTTAATTGGTAGCTTAAGGAGCAGAAAACAGAACTACAAGAGAACACTTCACACCTTATTAGGCTGTTCTATTATAAATACAGCTTAAAATTTATAGAAAGCTCCACATATGGACAGTGTTCTACAACAGAGGAAAGAAACTTCTAAATCACAATCTACAGCCTAATTTGAGGGGTGAGTTAATATAAATGTCTTCAATAATCATTTATTATTAGCAGTTGTATCATTAATATCCACCAACAAATGCACATTTTCAGAAACTGCAATCAGATCTGCAACCTCAGAGATGAAATTGTTCCTTTATTTCCATTTTGTTTTGTTTCATATAATGGGGAAATACTCCTTTACAGAAGGTCACTGATGCTGTGAGCCTAACCAATGACTGGCGATTTCTGGGGATCTTACTGCCCATTTCCATTACTCTTAAGTCTTAGATTCACACTGTCATCTTCCCAGTATAAGACTTTGGTTGAAACAAACCTGCCACAGTGCCACAGACTAAAAAAAACCCCACAAATTATTATTTCTTAATTGTGTGTATATTTGCTTTAAATATAAGCATCAGCCAAATCTGTCTCAGAAGTGTCTAAGAGCTAGATTTGTAAAACAGCTGAAAGTAACCTAAGCACCTAAATACCCTGAAAAAAAAAAGAGTAAACAAAGCAGTGTGAAACTCCAGCCTACCATGACTTGGCTGCTTCTCAAAACTGAGGGCACATCTGACAACAGTAGAAGTAAAGCCAATCCACTGTTTAGGCACCTAACCATTCACTAGTCTAGAAAACAACATCTCTCTCTCTAATGGTCATTTTACATTGTACCCAAGATCACATTTTCTGGGAACTCATAAAAAGTGAGCAAAAGTGATTAACCCCCTTTCAACCCTTTCCCTTATTCTCCATCCTCCCTAAATTGTTGGACTGAAAAGTTCTGCTCAGACTTGTTATTATGGTGGTCCCTGTGATAAAAAATGGGCAGGAGATGCCACACTATCTTGAAAGCTGACAGGAAAAAATATAAAGAAATCCTCATGGAAGACAATCTGATAATTTAAAGCAGTGACTTCACAAGAATCCATTACATTAGGACCGTGCTTTGTAATGCAGGACAAACATTGAACAAAGCACAAAATGGCTGATAACGTACATAGTGTTAAAATGCATAGAAAGTCCAAGGATCTGGCAGGTAAAGTGGAACTTAGAGATGCAAAAGCATTTAACTGTTTTATGGTAGGTATCTCAGAGTGGGAGTAAATGAGAAATTATCTCTTTTTAAATTATTCGTATTTACAGAAGTTTGTTCTAGAACCTACATAAAACAACAAAATGAACACAGTCCTCCATCAACATAGCCAAACAAGAGTGAAGCACATAACCTATCAATCAAACACTTGTCACTGCCAAAATTCAGAGCTTTAATAGTAACGCTGTCATAGCTCAAAATGGTGAACAACTTTTAGGCCTGTGAAAACTAGTCGCTCCTCTAACATTTCCTCCAAACATCATTATCAATGTAAAAGGAAAAAATAAATTAAATGCTGTTATTGTTTTTCAAAATAGGATTTTAATCAATTTTTCTTGCTTCTACCTAAAAGTTTATAACCATAAAAAATGGATACTTTCATGATTTCATTCTAATTCCAAATTTTTACTGAAACTTGGCATGCCAGGGAAAAACAAAAACAACCCCCTCCCCCTTTTTTTTTTTCTAGCTTACTGTTGGCATTCTGTGACCTGAAAGTATAGAAACGGAATTCCCTTTTCCAATCACTAAGAAGCCTATTTCAATACTTGGTTTTTAAGCATTATGAAGTATTTCAGGATATGGTACCAAAATAATAACTGAAGGCTGGGAACAAATCTCGTCAAGATAATAGACTGATACGTATTTCCAGGGAACAGTGGGCAACATTAAGCACCAAGCACAAATTCACAATTGTAACACACGCAGCTACAGAATATCCATCACGGTCAGGATACACTTGAACAGTAAGCACAAACTTTTGCTTGTGTCTGTATGAGTCATGCGTCAGTGATTATTCCTGTGTGATCACACTTTGTTTGCATGCTGTTTCTGGTGCTAAGCTTAACCTGTGTAATACCTTCCAAATCATACATAGAATCATAGAATCATTCAGGTTGGAAGAGACCTCCAAGATCATCGAGTCCAACCGTCAACTCAACACCACCACGCCCACTAAACCATGTCCCTAAGTGCCTCATCTACACGTCTTTTAAATACTTCCAGGGATGGTGACTCAACCACTTCCCTGGGCAGCCTCTTCCAATGTTTAACCACTCTTGCAGTAAAGAAAGTTTTCCTCATGTCCAATCTAAACCTCCCCTGGTGCAACTTGAGGCCATTTCCTCTCGTCCTTTCGCCAGTTACTTGGGAGAAGAGACTGACACCCACCTCGCTACCACCTCCTGTCAGGTAGTTGTAGAGAGCAATGAGGTCTCCCCTCAGCCTCCTTTTCTCCAGGCTAAACAACCCCAGTTCCCTCAGCCGCTCCTCAGAAGACTTGTTCTCCAGACCCTTCACCAGCCTCGTTGCCCTTCTCTGGACACGTTCCAACATCTCAACATCCTTCTTGTAGTGAGGGGCCCAAAACTGAACACAGTATTCGAGGTGCGGCCTCACCAGTGCCGAGTACAGGGGCACGATCACTTCCCTATTGCTGCTTCGTAGCCTGCCTTTCTCTTGCTGGTCTGTGCCTGGCCACCCACCTGCCCTGAGCTGCTGTGGCAGTCTCTCCCCTGTATCCCAAGTGCTCTTTCCTCCTGGCCTTCTTTATACCCTCACCTTCCTCTTAGTTTGTACAATCTCTTCAACCCTCCCGTCTAGCTTTTAGTTTATTATTATAGTACTTGGTAAATGACACAGCAGAAAATAGTCATTTACAAATTCAGTACACACTTCCCCAGTAATTTGCATGCATGAAGCTTAACATCCATTGTGCAACACCAGAACATCATCATGTGTGCCCCAACCAACGTTAATAGCACCATAAGCAGGAACAACCAAAAGGGAGCTTGAGTCAGTCCCCACTAAAATGACACAGTTACTATGAGAAATGTGGTTGGGGGCTCATGTCCTGCATCGGGCAGGATGCTTGTCTAGGGAATCCCCATCACCGCTCTTGCCAGCTGGCTACTGGGGAGCAGTTTTCCCTTCTCTTTCTCTCTCTCCTCCTATTCTTTCCTAAGGTAACGTCGAAGTCAATGTATGCCATCAGCTTCAGACTCCATCAGTGAAGCTTTGTAAGACTCTCTTGACTTTGTGCAACAGCATGAATCAATTTGAGGCTGCTACTCATAAAAATTGCGTAGTACCTACTTCTCTGGAATACAGAACAAAACGTGAAGCTTCTTATTATCTGATTATAGTTAGTAAGTCCTGCCCATAATATGAATAAACTGATGTTAGGAAAGCAATATATGACAGAATGAAACACAGAAAAACAAAACTTACCAATTGCCCTAAACCAGGCTATAATATTGCTATAATATGTTAAAGGCTGTCCTTCTCCCAGTTTAAAAAAAACCAAACAAAAAAACCTGTATAAAACTTAAATATGAGGGAAGTGACTCTTAATAAGACATAAGCTGCTATGAAACACAAAGAAAAATCCACTAATGTATAGCTTGTTATCTAATATGCTCTTTAAACATGCAAGCAAATACATTGGTCCAGGTGCTAATAATGAGGCTGGCAAGAGTTATAGGAAAGCTAATTAAATATGACCAATGGGGAAGATAGAAGAGAAGCAGTCAACAGATAATTAAGAACTTTAAATAGCATCCATTCATTCTGATTAAAACACCAAAAAATTATTGTGCTTTTTTATTGTAGGAAGGCCTTTAATTTAGTCAAATTTCTTTTTCAATTTGAAGCTTAAAGAGTTATGGATTTGAGGTCCAAGTAAAAGATATCTTCTTCAGTAACCTATTAAGTTTCCAGATCCTGCTTAAACTGTACGTTTATCTTTCAACAATACACATGAAAAGTGATCTTTTATACTATAATCATAGAATCATAGAATCATTAAGGTTGGAAGAGACCTCCAAGATCATTGAGTCCAACCGTCAACTCAACACCACCATGCCCACTAAACCATGTCCCTAAGTGCCTCATCTACACATCTTTTAAATACCTCCAGGGATGGGGACTCAACCACTTCCCTGGGAAGCCTCTTCCAATGTTTAACCACTCTTTCAGTAAAGAAATTTTTCCTCACGTCCAATCTAAACCTCCCCTGGCACAACTTGAGGCCATTTCCTCTCGTCCTAGCGCTTGTTACTCGGGAGAAGAGACCAACACCCACCTCGCTACCACCTCCTGTCAGGTAGTTGTAGAGAGCAATGAGGTCTCCCCTCAGCCTCCTTTTCTCCAGGCTAAACAACCCCAGTTCCCTCAACCGCTCCTCAGAAGACTTGTTCTCCAGACCCTTCACCAGCCTCGTTGCCCTTCTCTGGACACGCTACAACATCTCATATTCGAGGTGTGGCCTCACCAGTGCCGAGTACAGGGGCACGATCACTTCCCTGCTCCTGCTGGCCACACAATTTCTGATACAGGCCAGGATGCCATTGGCCTTCTTGGCCGCCTGGGCACACTGCCGGCTCATGTTCAGCCGGCTGTCAACCAGCACCCCCAGGTCCTTTTCTGCCAGGCAGCTTTCCAGCCACTCTTCCCCAAGCCTGTAGCGCTGCATGGGGTTGTTGTGGCCGAAGTGCAGGACCCGGCACTTGGCCTTGTTGAATCTCATACAGCTGGCCTCGGCCCATCGATCCAGCCTGTCCAGGTTCCTCTGCAGAGCCTTCCTACCCTATATTTGTATATAATATTGTACCTTAGTCAAAACACTAGATTAAAATCAGGTTTCCAAAAATATTCAGGGTAGATCCAAAATCATTTAGCTTGCTTAAATCACAGAAACAGATTAAATTCCATATACTGCATGCATATATTATATCCAAATGGTTTATTTTCTTATCTTCTCAATTATAAATACTTAGAGGCATTGTAATCTAACTAGGAAGGTCAATCCCACAAAACTGCATTGTATCTTGTAGTGCATATCTTACTACCCTCTCTCTTCTTTACAATTACTTTTCTTTTATGCCAACTGTACTCACTGGACTGAAAGTCATTTAAGAAGGTCAATTAAGATTTAGGGATCAGTGATATCAGAATAACTGCTGGTTATTCCCTCAGGCTACTCTTAAAAACTCTACCAAAGTTTTCTCAATTGATTTGGAGCTACCAATCTTCTTTGGTCATACTTAGCTTAGGAAAGTCATTTTACATGCCAGGTTTAGCACTTGGATAATCCCAGAAATATCATCAAAAAGTTACATTATAGGAAACATAAGGAAATGTAACAAAAACTATTACAAAATAAGGAACTGGCTTTTCCTTTTTGGGAACACTAAAACAGGTTCTGCATTTAATTTCTCAAATATTGTTTATTTCTGTTAAATACAGTCCTCACTATCTTCCGTTTAACATGTCTAAATATCTGGTGTTACATTCCTAATCTCTTTTAGACTCTCGAAATGGACATGTAAATCTGCTATTGCACTCTGGTAAAATGTCTTTTTACCTGGTCTAGTCAGATAAAAGTAGTATAAACTTCCTAAAAGGATACAAAGAAGTTATTAGAAAATGCACACGTTTTAATTAAATTAATTGCTTTTGACAGCTGTATAGTTACTTCTTCAACCCAATCATTTCTAAACATAGTATATCAGGAAAGAAAGGATATTTTAGCTACTTTAATAATAAAAAAAAAACCCACAATTTTTTTCATAGAAAAAGAAATTACACATTGCAGAAGAGCCTGTTTTCTAAGCTTGCCAGATTTGGTGAGAATACCAAATCAGACTCTAGCTGACAGAAGACCAATAAACTCTGCACGATGGTTGTTAAAGAACTGATATGTACACTGACACTCATGAAAGTCCTAACAATTTGTCAATTATTTGGCTTTTTTAAGCTGACCCTTGGAATCTAGGAAGACAGAAAATATGAAACATGATCAGATAATTAATCTCATTTAAAATTAATATGGAGCACTGGAATATAGCTTTCTATCTCTAGGATGCTATCTATCAATACAGATGCATTTGTAACAGGTTAATAATTTTCTGTTCAAACAACCCTTAATTATGTAACTTTAATGTCTGCTAATTTACTGCACTTTTGAGAGCTGAACATGAATGTTCTTCATTTACCATGTAAAAAACCAGAGAATATAGTTTTCTTGTTAGAATGAACTTTCAGTTACGCATTTAGGAAGAGCAGGGTGCCTTCCTTTCTTTTTTTTTTTTTTTTAATAATCCGGCATTAGCTACATAGTTACAAGAGAAAACATATTATACTAAATCTTTTTTTCTTTTTGTAGTATGCAAACCATTTTGTTACATTTCAAATCATATCAACACTCTTCTCTACATTAAAAGCAGATATTACTAAGCAAAACCAACCTATTTTGATTAACTGAAATACTTACACTTCTGTATTTGACAATATATTCCAAAATGGGGGCACCTCCATCATCTTGTTTAGTTATGCTAAGTTTAAAACTCTTGCCACTTCCTGGTTGTCCATGAATTGAAGGGGGGCTTGGCTCCCCTAAACAAGGGAAAAAAACAGTAGATAATATTAATTCAGCAATAAGATAAGTCTTAAATTGCAGCTGGGAGCTTGTCCACAAGATTTTTAATCAAAATCTTTAAAATCAACATGATCCTTCCAAGCACTGCAAAACATCCTTAATAAGGGTGTTAAATATTTTGCTTAAAATATGTTCTAATATAGATTATCTCATACAAGGAAACAAAATTAAATCAAGTATGAAAGTATTTGTTTCTTTGAGACTGTGAGTTTTGACACTTTGAAATGTAATTTAATTCAGAAATAATTTAGCCATCAATTCAGCAAGGCTGGTGAGCTGCTAGTCACACTGGAGTTTAAGAGTAACACTATCTTACAGGAAAGCAACCTTACGCATAAGATTTAATCCCATGTGTGAGATCTAAATTGTAAAAACAGATATTAGCTAACTTAACTCTTCGATAAATGTGCCAAGGCAAAATTAGATGCTTTTAGAGTAGTCTATATTAAGAATAAATATAAAGAATAAGATTTCCAATAGCAAAAACAATTTTCTCTGTAATGAAAGGATAAAAATAACCTTAAATGTACAATTGAAGTGTTAATATTCAGCTTAAGCCACTTTTCTAATGGAAATTCACAGACTAATTATAATTTCTATACACAATGCCTATTATAAAGTTTTAGATCAGATCCTAAATGAACATGTGCTGTCATACTGAAGTGTCTTATCTTCAAAATTTCTGTAAATTTGCATTCACCCAGAGAGCTACAGTTCCTTTAGAAATATTTGTAATATTTGTGTTTATCCCTTGTCATAGTAAAGATAAATTGTCTTAGATCTCAACATAGAATTTGCCTAGCTTTCTATCACATAACATATATATAATTTCTATCAGTTTCTATCACTTTTTTATCAGGTATGACGTCCCATATGAATAATAGCAAATTATTTTATCTGTCATTCAATATATTTAGCATATGTATATGCTTTAATCAAAAAGAAATTTGAAAGTTGCCAAGTTACTGGTTTTCAACATAAGAAATGTATCAATAAGAACATAATACAGTAACAGAAATATTTTATGTTCTTTGTAGTCGTGTGACTTCTATTGTTCATTCCATTAGGGCCAGTATTCTTAACTATACTGAGTAACGCCCTACTCAGAAAACAGCTCAGTTGCAACAGATTTATGAGAGACTAGTCTGGTAATAGTGGCTGATGTATTTTGGTATATCTGTTTGAGTACTCTACAGTGCCATCTGGTAGTTCCTTCATTTTTCTTCTCCCTTCATATTTAATTTATTTATCATTGTTTCTATTTAAAAGTAATTTGAGAAAAAAAAATTTCATTAGCCCTTAATATTTAAATCTGAATTTCTTGCCTATAAAGGTTACTGAAAATATAGAAATGGCTTTCTAGCATTTATCATTTGCATGTAATCATAGTTAAAACAAATTATTCTCATCATTTTTCCATAGCTTAAGATTTCTGTTTGAGTCTTGATAATTGCAAAACTTGTGGCAGCATAGTTTGCTGAAGAAATGTCTCCACAAAGCGCCAATTCATTTCTCACAGATGTCTATAATACCCTGGGCGTAAATGAGAAAAAGTCCTTAATTTAATATCTTTCATGGTTTGTGCTCTTGAATATTAAACAAAGATTTGTCTAAGTCTCAAAAATATAGATAATGGGAAAAATTATCTAATTTAAGTTCATTCTTACTACTAGGTGGAGGGAATAAGAGGAACAAAACATGATTTCTGAGAAACAATGTAAAGACATGTTATACACTGGGAAGTAGCATATAAATATAAAACATATTATCCACAGTGAATCATACTTGAAATTATTAGCTGATCTGGAGATAACATATTCTAATAATCATTTACATTTTCATTCGATAGCACAGGTATTACTCACGGACAGGTAAGGTCTGAAAGATCTCGATTTTGCTATACTCTCCTTGCCCTTTTCCATTTACAGCAGCTACTTTGATTTCATATGTCGTATTTGGTTCCAAATTGCTGAGAACAACCATTGCTAAAGGAAAGGGAAGAAAAAATATGGGAACAAAATTTGATGAAGCAATAAATTTTTAAAAAAGTCAACAAATTTAATAATTTCTTTGCTTCACTTGCAACTTAGAGCCCCATTTTCTAATAGTCCCATGGTTCCAAACTTAGCTTTGTTGTTGAGTGTTAATAGCCCTTTTTTCTTCATCTGCATAAAATCATTGTTGTGACTGAGCAATTTATGCTTCTGAAGAAATTTAACGTCAGTGTTACAGAAGCCATAGGCAACAATTAAGGACCTTGATGGGGATTGATATTTTATGTTCAGATTGTGAGCACAGGAGACATGAATCTGGCAAAAAATTATGGAAGTTTCCTTTCTCCTAGCTGGCAATGGGCATCTGATGCACATTCAAGCCACCTTCATACAGTTCATAACTTGCCATTTCTCCCTCATGGAAAGCAGTATCAACCGTCCTTGGTCTACACTCCTAGACACATCTACGAGCACATTAGTGGTAAATTACTGGTGCTATGCTCTGCCAGTTCAACCACGTATTCAAGACCTAAAATGACAGGTGGCTATGACGATCAAAGGAAGAGTTCTGAGTTATCTACTAAAGACCTGAAAGTGAATTAGGCATGTTTGTACGTATTCAAGAAGAGGTGTATGGAAATGCATATTAAGTTATAACAAAAAAAAAAAATGATTTGGGAAGCGGACAGGTTTGAACTTAGGACATGCTTTCACAAATCAAGACTGAATCCCTGCCAGCAATCTTTCACACAGCCTGAATCTATTCCTAGGATTCTACCTGGAGATGCCATCAGAAGCAGAAAACAGGGGGAAAAACTTCCCAAAAAGAATATTATACAGCACTAAGAATATTGTTACTGCAACATACAGCAATAAGTCCAGAAACAAAATCCAGGAAAGGGATGTTGGATTCCAGGATCTTTTATGGGAATGCAGTATTATATATTACCATACTACTGTATGTTACTAATATCAGTGTTGAATATGCACCTGGAAGCTTCAGTCCACATAGAGTTCTTGGATCATTACCCTGCCTTTACAAGACAGCTTCCTTTTATTGTCTCTACAGCAATTGCCTGCTTGCTGTTTGCCAGCTCTGTGATGAGCTCTCCAGATGTCAGATTCATACTGGGGAATGGACATAAATTGGATGGACTTTACTTGAAGCACATCAGTATTTGTCTTGCCCAGAAAAGCAGGGGCTGTATTATCTTACAAAAGGATATAGAACTGTAATGTCTTGAGAAAGAGCCAGTAGTCTCTTTCTCAGTCTCTAGGGAGCTTAGTTTTTTTCATTATGGAGAAGTATTTTAGTAGTTGCTTTAGGCTTGCTTTTCAAGTTCTATATTTAATGAAAGTATAATTATTTCTGTCAGTACTCTCTTATTCTTTTGAGTCCCGATTTATTAGAATTTCTATTTCTTTAGTTTCTGCAGCAGACAGACAGAGGTCCCATTACATGTGGAGCTAAAGGGATTTAATGAATTTTGGAAAAACAGTAACTTTTACATTTCACACTCTATTATGAGCACTTTGCTTGAATTTGCCATTGAAACATGATAAATGCTTCCTTGTAAACAAAACACTGGAATTTTATGTATGTCTTCCAGCACATTTTAGCTTTTTCATTTTCATGAGATTTAAGAATATCAAACTATAAAGTATAACCATGTCATGAAAAAATAAAGTACCATCATGAGAATAAGAACAGAATTTGGAGAATAGAAGGATTATGACATATAACATTCAGTTATGGTAAGATGAAATTTAAAACCTAAACCAAGCAGTAGCAGTGTTTGACTTGCCTTTCAGCCATGATTACTTTCCAAGGCTGTATAATTTAACTGAAAATAAACCTTAGGGCATACTAAAAATTAGTGTTACTGTAAATGTTTTCAAAATTGAAACAACATAAAAGCATGACTATGAGTCTACACTTAATAAAATGTGAATGTGTTAACTACGTAAAACCTAAGGATCCGATTCCATAAACGCTTGAGTGACTCCTGCGGCCTATCTAAAGGAATAAAATTACTTATATATGCAGTATTTAAAGAATCAGTGTCTACTTTAGAATCCCCTGCACAGCACTATGTGTCTAGATGCAATGACTCTTACAAATACATTTATGGAATTAATCCAACTAAATCTGATGGCATATGTCCTCAAAAACTGGAACCACTTGGTATCAGTGATGGTATGATGTGGATATATTTCATACATAGGAAAAAAATATATAACTATGACCTCCTGGAAAACAAAGGAAAGAACCATTATTGATCAGATCACTTTAAATACTCCAGTTGTAAAAGAATATTTAGAATAATTAAGTAAGATTAAGGAACTATCCTACAGCATGTAACAAAAGTGCAGAGCTTAAAAGTAATCTAAGAGTAGTGAAAGCTTTCACTGCTTGCTAAGTGTTTTACATTTTTGAAATATGTTGAGAATGGAAGAAAATACTTAATATAGTTTTGTTTTGTTTTGTTTTTTTAAGATCTGTATTTGTCATTTAAGCATAAAATCAGGTTATTCATCTTTCCATATATAAACAAAACTCTTCTTACAGCAGTCCATAGCTCACAGCCGTGGCCACAATGGTATTTTGATTACAGTTTTCAAAGATCACTGAAGTAATTAACTGTAAAATTTCAAATAATATTCTGAAAGAAACATAGGAGTTTCAGTATATGAATGTGAAAAAATTGGTCCACTGCATACTGTATGTGTGAATTATGCCATTGGCATATTCATTGGAAAATATCAAGTCCCAAATATACTGAAAGTGAAATTCCTTTATTTGTTTCAGAATATGATCTGAAATTTTCCAGTGTTTTTCTACCTGTCTTATCTACCTGCTTCTGGTTTTATATTGTCTTTCTAATCATAGTATCTGCATGATTTATCTGACGTATTCAATTTTGTAGTCTAATTGATTTTGCTGGGATTATTCACACAGTGACTGGTTACATTGAGGAGTAGACTTCGAAGAACTACTCCAAAGAGAAAAAAACAGAAGATTCTCTTGTGAACTCTGCAGGTATTGCTGGGCTCAATTAACATGATGAACAACATCTCAGACCTTAGTGTTTTCCACTTACAAGAAGATAGACAGGGCGGCCGCAAGTCATATGGTACCCTTGGAGAGATCATGACACAAGAAGTTATCAGTTATCTTGGTTTTGTTTTAATATACTGCACAGAGAGTTTTTTTGACAGAGTATTGAAAGAACTTTTTTTTTTTTTAATTTTGTAGACCAGAATTTAAAAAGAAACACAGCAACCAAGAAGTACTAAACCTTACTGAACAGCAAACCCCAATTCAATCCATTCTGTGGCAAGAATCCTAAAGTTTAAGCAACATTAAAGTCCTTATTTTTTATTATACAGATTCTTCTGATTTGCAAGGAAATCTAAAACATTAAAGCATGAACACAGTACAGAAAAAAAACCCACAAAAAATTATATTAGATAGATTAGATGATAGACAAAAATCCAGAACTCCATACTATTTTAAATACAGAGTGTAAGCATTTCAGCTAGAAAAGTTTACTTTATTATTGTAGAATTTGAACGGCTATCAAGATAGCATGGATAACCATGGACTTCCGGAGGGTGGACTTTGGCTGTTCAGGACGCTGGTTTAGAGAGTCCCCTGGGAAACAGTCCTGAAGGGCAAAGGGGTCCAGGAAGGCTGGACGATCTTCAAGAAGGAAGCCTTAAAGGTGCAGGAGCAGGCTGTCCCCATACACTCTAAGAAGAACGGGTGGGGAAGACGACCAGCCTGGCTGAACGGGGAGCTCTTGCTGGGACTCAGGAAAAGAAGGAGAGCTTACCACTTGTGGAAGAAGGGGAAAGTGACTCAAGAAGAGTACAGGGATCTCGTTAGGTCATGCAGAGAGGAAATGAGAAAGGCAAAAGCCCAGCTAGAACGCAACCTGGCCGCTGTCATTAACAACAACAAAAAAAGTTTTTACAAATATATTAATGACAAGAAGAGAGCCAAGGAGAATCTCCATCCTTTAT